TCTCCTTTACCTCATCAATTCAATGTAATTATTTTACACGGACACACATGAAGTTCCCCGAACTGGCCATCACTAACCAGAGTTATTTCATAATATCTCACATAGCCAACCATTTGGAAGTAATTATCGGTAATGATCTGCCGGTGACTGATCTATTTTTACCTGATGATCAAACCAGATCTCATCTGAGAACTATATCCCGTCACATTCATTATAATCACCACACACATCCATCTCTGCCAGCCCCACCTGTCCCTGTAATGGAGTTTCATTCTCCACCCATTCACACTCAGGGTAAATACAGGACATACACTGAAGAGGTTACTTATTGTGTGCAGGTTAGATGTAAGCATTTTAAATGGGATTACATGATGTTTCTGAGTGAGTGAGTGAGTGTGTGACTTTAGAGCTGTGTACGATACATGTCTGGCTCTTTTTTGCATTATGGTCTAACAGGTTACTTTGGATAATATATCCCTTTTTTTTTATGGCAAATAAATACAAATGTTGGAAAATATATACACCATTGACTAATCATGCGTTTAAAACAAATGGACTTATAGAAGACAAATAAAAAAATGCAACTTGCAAAGAAAAAGGGAGTTGATATATAAGTTTAATTGAATTTATACATAATTTAGTGCACTTCTGTATGTGGCTCCCCTGCAGTTTGCAGCTGTGGTCGATGGTCTTTAAAATACCACAGTGGAGGTCACCATAAGAGACAGCAGGCTGTACAATCTCCATCCAGTTGAAATATAAATATAATAAGAATATAGTGCAGAATGAATTGATTAAACTAAAACAATGCTATCAAAAACACCACTACATTAGTACAATTATAAATACTGTAAAATATGGTTATATTAAAGGTTTAGTAAGTGACAAATCACTCACTTTAGGCTTCATGTATGTCACAATACACACACCATGTGTAACAGGCTACATGCTAAGTAGTTGAAATACACGCCAGAGCCACGGAGTGTAATCGCTTCCTGCTTCACATAACCGTATTTAAAACCCTTACCCTAACATTTAGGCAGAGTGTGGAAATTATCATAATTAAAAATCATTTTTGCATGCAACATTTTGTTCTAAAAATCTCGCGTGACTCAACATAATCGCGGGTCCTCCGAAAAAAACGAACCCGCTGCAGGCTGCAGGAGAGCCGGGCTCTGCAGAGCTGCCTTTCCCCTATCGAAGGGGGAAAAGCAGAATACAGAACACCTCCTTTCCCCTCCTCTCCCCGCTGAGGTTCATTCTCTCTCGGTGCTCGGTCGAGTTTCCCTCCCCGCTTGTTGGAGGGTTTCTGAGCTGCTTTCTGCTCGCCGGTAGGCAGCCGGGGAGGAGCGGCTCTCTGACCGTGCAGCAGTGCACTACAGGCGGCGGAGAGCGGAGCAGGAGCCGCTGAGTCCCGGAGAGACGCTGCAACACGCCCGGCGATGAACGCTTAAAGGCGTCTGCAGATCAACAGTTCCCCCGCTTACAGCTACATATAACCAACGTTATTTATACAGCCTTTTATATCCGAAATAAAGTGTTAATTTGTACTATTTCTTTGTTTGCAGTTTTCTTTTAAAACTTTGAAAGAAACGTCTTAACTGATCTGCAATAATCAAAAATAAATAAATAGTGGAGCCACTCTGATGGGATTTATTTTTTGTTTTAATGTTTGGTGTAACATAAAAACACCAACATATACAAATAGATAGATTTTTTTTATTTCTATAGTTTAAAAATAATTGTTATTCATTCTAAAAATATTTTTGTATTTATATAAAACATGTTATATTTTTCTGTAATTGTTTGCGGTTTTATTCAATGTGTTTAGTAATTGTTTCTCAACTGCAAGAATCCTATCTATTTTTGCTGTGGACAAATCTAGCTAGGTACATGGTGTGTTCTAGGATGTTGTTCTCAAGTACTCATGTGGTACAGTACTAACATGTCGTTATGGGGAGTTTTTCTTGTCTGTATTGAGGGACAGAGGGTGTTGTATTGTACAGATTGTACAGAAGCAGTAATTTAAGACTACATGAATAAAACTGAGCAGACGGGCCCTTCAAAAATAAAATGAACAATGTTGCAGTCTGTGTACCTTTAGGACATCGCCAAGAAGCTCAAAGGTGAGTGAACTGGAAAGATAGAATGTGTGTGTGTGTGTGTGTGTGTGTGTGTGTGTGTGTGTGTGTGTGTGTGCACGTGTGTACGTGTGTGTGTGTTAGGGGTTGACAGGAGTGTCACTAACCAGAAGAATACGAGCTATCTGAGAAGGAAGAGGGATGAGGCAGAGTCCTGCTGCTTCTCCTCACCACCATTATCCTACAGGAGGGAAACCTGTGGGGGGGCACGCACACACACTAACACACACATTCAAACACACACACCCTGGGAATCTCCTCAGCTGTTCCCCCTTCTCTCTCCTCCTTTTCCTCCTGCCTAACCACCTCTGCTCTGCGGCTCTGGTTCCTCTGGGCTCCGGATCGGGGCCCCTGCAGGTTCCTGGCCAGGATGAGGCTCCTAATGGCAGCCACTCTGTGATGATTTACGCTGCATTACTGTACACACTGCCTCCTGCTGATGGTTTATTACATCTCTGTTTTACTGCTCTTTGGTCTCTCTCTGAGGCTGGGGTCTAATTAAATAATTTAACTGAATTACCAAACATATGCCAGAACCTGTGTAGAAATTACTCATGGTTAACTTGTTTTATGGTTGTGCGTTCATTTCTGCTTGGCTGGAGAGGAGTTCTCAGTTCATCCAGGATGATAAAGAGGAAGATGGCAACAAATACTGGAAGTCTGGGAAAATAAATGTTCTGCAAACCAGCAGCTTACCAGGTGTAATGCACATTTAGGTGAGTGTGTGTGAATGGTTTATTTTAATTTAGGAAATAGGAGAATTTCTCAGTTCATAAAGGAATACTGAATCCTTCAATTAAATAAAAACAGCACATTTGGACGGTGACAAATTAAGAGTGTGGTTACATTTAATTCAAATAAACTGGTAACTATTTTAAATGCTGTTTTTTTCTGTTGCATCATTTAATTATAACACATTAATTTATACATGTTAAAAAACACATTTTGGGGCCCCTCGTACTATTACATCAGTATGCAGATGGTAGTTCCCTAATAGCTAAATCTAGCGAAAATCATCTGTTCCCTTTTTGAATTAATTTGTATGCATGGTCCTGTGTAGCCTATAAAAAACTACAAAAACAATGAGTATTTATAACAGAAAGGTATAGCCTACCTACATTTGAAATGCATAATGTGTGTGTAGCCTGTTTAGACATAATTGCAAGCTGTGGAATTTAACTTTAGAGTTTAACTCTGCTTATAAGCTATCTTGGTTGGAGTTTTTTGGAAAACAAAAATGCAAAACAATAAAGAACGCCTCATCGATTAGCTCCTAGCTTAGCCTCGAACACAACGAGGCTGCACGCTGCAGACAGAGGTTCTGTTTCTGCAGAGCATTCCTCCCTGACAGCAGACACAGATATCTGGCCGACATTAGTCTCATCATCCCGGGCTTAACCCTCCTGCTGGCCCGCTATCTGCTCCGTGTGTGTGTGCGTGTGTGGGTCAGTGTGAGTGTGTGTGTCCTAACATCTGAGTTTACCAGTGTTTTCAGTTTGTGATCAGGCTCCTGGTCGGGCAGCCCAGGGGTCCTCCATCAGCTGGTAAGCCCTCCCACCCCGGGGTTTCTGGGGGGGGTGATCGATGATGGACACAGCAGCTCTGCCGTGTGTGTGTGTGTGTGTGTGTGTGTGTGTGTGCTATTACCAGGAGCAGAGGGGAGGCAGGTCTGATGGTGGAGGCTTATAGAAGAGAGGGTCCTGGGTGGTGGTTGTGGTTGTGTGCGTGTGTGTGTGTGTGTGTGTGTGTGTGTGTGTGTGTGTGTGTGGGGGGGGGGTGTATTTAAACAGCCTGGGTTTGATTGACAGGCCTGATAGTGAGGGGGGGGGCACGGTGAGGGATGTTTGGTAGTGGGGGGGCTGGCTGAGTGAGCAAGTGCTTGAGAAAAGAGAAGAGAAAAGGGGGTTTGTGTTGTTGAATGCAGGTTAGATTGTGTGTGTGTGTGTGTGTGTGAGCAGGGAAGGGGGCCTGGAAACTCCTGAACGGGGTGAGTGTAGGGGGGGGGGGTATTTTTGGGGGGAGCAGGGGTGCAGGAGGAAAGTGAGCTTTTAATTACCAGGGCAGAAGCAGATGTAGCAGAATGGTGCCCCCACCTCTAAACACACACACACACTGGTTGTTTCTTGGCAGCTGGAAGTCATCAGCCTCGGTGTGTGTGTGTGTGTGTATTTGTTAGGACAGGAGCCTTGAAGCACATTGTTTAAATGTAAAGATGTTCAGCTTCTATCGGCACTTCTTACCTTGATGATTAAACCCCCCCCCCCCTCTTATTACTGAATAGGTAACATCATGCTGCCATATTTAACAAAATGAGTGCCTCATAATGTAAACCAAGGTCGATGTCTTAATTGACATTGTTGTAATTAATTTGGAATACAATTAATTACAAATACATATTTTCCAGGTTCAGGGATCACAGGATCAATAGAATAAATGTATCTAATATTTATATATTATTTTACGAGTTATTAACAGTCTTCTGAACTATTTTGTGATTAAGTTGATTACATTTGCCTTAAATGTTGTATTACTCAATTTTTGAGTATCTTATAACATCTAGCCACATGCATAGTTTTTAAAAATACAAATAGAATTAACACATGATCAGTGAGAATATTACAGTATATTAAATGCATTAAATATACTGAAATACTCGTTACCACACAGTCTTTTCTGACAGGAAAAACAGAGTATACAATTTGAAAATAGGATTTGCATTATATTGTTTTCACAGAGTGATAAATAACACACTGAGGATTAGTTCAATACATTTCTGAAACAGCAACACATCTTTACAAATGATGGAGCAACGTAACTAAAGCATAATTTGAACAAACTTCTTGATACAAAGACAGAAAGCTCTTGTTAGTTTTATCCAGAGTGTTTCTTTATTTTTGGTGTTTTGAAATACAATGTCAGATTTTTTCCCCTCCCATTATTTTCCACCTGTATAAAATGTATCCGAACAGATGTGTGCACAGATGAAAACACGGTGCAGAGTATAAAATGACTTCTCATCATGAAAACGGTGCAAAACTTAAAAAAAGAAACACAATGTCCCTGCACATATAAAAATAAATTAATACTTTGTGTGTCCAGTCACTGGTCCTAAAGATTCACACACAAGCTGAGGCTTCATTGGCTTTCCTTCACACCAGCACGGCCAATCACAATCACTTATGTACACCAACGGCCAATGAGAAAGGTTTATGTACACTTAACGAGGTAAAAACTGTGATGACACATGTCCTCCCCCTACAAACAGCTATGTACAGCCACACCCCCGCCCCAATCAGCCAACCATCAATAGCTTCTAGCTTTCAAACACAACACAGATAGAAGTCATTAAACGGGTTTTACAGCAAGATGAGGGAAAGAAACAAAACAAAGAAAACTTTACACAGTAGTATAAAAACGATGTTAGGTGGCAACACCAGCGGGCTTTTTAAAATATATCTCCTTATGCCCTTTACACAAACCCCAAATAAATAAAAAGCACAATACAAAGTTGGCTTTGATATCAGAGAATGCAGCAGAATAATATTTCCTGGTTTTTATTAAACGCACGTCCACCCTGACGAGTCTTATTGTAATCTGTTGCCTTAGCAACGCAGCTTAATTACCAGTAGCATACACTGGTGCAGGGGTGATGTGTTACTGAAGGCCGACCCGGAAGTTAGCATCGCAAAGACTCCCTCGTCAAAATGCCAATCGGATTTCTCCATTGGCTTTTGGATTATTGCAGAAAATAAAATCTGTGGAAAACACACATTTCAGATACGCTTTGTTCAGCAGGATATGATGATTTTTTAAAAAGCGTAAATGAAAACACGAGAAGTAAAACGATAACGTAAGGCTATAAAGGAACTACAGCACGGTCACATTACTTCACCACCGCTAACCTAAAGGCGGCTAATCTTGGGTGATGACGTTTAGTCGTCTCATTTAGACACTTGTTAGCGACCGCGTTTTTTTTAAATTAACCAGTGATGTATCTGGTCCAGCTTGTGTTAACCACAGAACTTATTTCAAGCTAACAACCAAAAACACATTCATAAAACAGTTGGCTTTAACAGGAGGGAGCTGGAAGTGGTAAAATGCTAACTAATTTCCGGGTTTTTAGGACTCATTCCTGCACCACTCTATTGTGAAGAGTTGGGCCGAGTGACAGGGACTCGGGTAGAAGGGACACAAGTCCTCCACCTTTGGCCTCAGGCACTTTGGTGTGGCCCCCGACTGGCCTCACTGTGGTGGCTTTGCTTTAGGTCCTGATAGCTGGTCCTGCTCGAGAGGTAGGTGCAGCAGGGGGTCCAATCAGGAAGATCAGATGCAAGGCTGACAACCAACTGCATTCTCTGTGTGAGTCTGTGTGGATTAACGCATCCCTCTGAACATTCAACGTGCTGCTTATTCCTTTTTTTCTTTTTCACATTCCCTGAGTGAGCCCCCTGTATCTGGCCCAGAGAAGAGACAGTCAAAAGAAAGGCTTCTGCGGTGACTGTATGAGGCTTGGGTCACCGACATAAACGTATCTACACAAAGAGACAGTGAGAACATGTGGGATATTTTCACAAGCCTCTCACTCAATAGTCCCCTCGGGATCGCTGCGAGACAGATGTCAAACACACATCTGCTACTGTAAAGTCCTGTAGTGGGGAATTCTTTTTTTATATATATTTTATGTATTTCTGCTATATTTTTTTTAATGTTTGTAGTTCTGTGTGTGCTAGCTTGTGTGCTGAGTTAGCAGAGGCCCTGAGAGAGTGAGACAGCAGAGAGGGATGTTAGTGTGGACGATGGAGAAAAGAGACACAACGAAAAGAGAGGAAATGAACGTGACACACACGAGAGAGATGTGAAGAGATTAGAGAATAACATATTGAGATCAAACACACCATGTGCTCATTACTGACACTAAGTTGCTACCAGTGATATCGAAACAAAATTACCTCAACAGTGACAAAAACCTGAAGCAGCACTAAAGCTACAAAAAACTAAAACTGGATGGACATAAATAGCACAAAATGTTAAGACTGATTCCTGAAAAAGCTGCGACATACACCTCGAGCTGCAGATGAACGCCGTCACTCGCCATAGTGTGTGCTAATAATCCAGCAGGAACACAGGTTTCTCTGCTGCACTGAACCACAAAGTGGACCCACAGCCTCCCGAAGACTCTGCATATTTATTTTAAAAGAAAAAACAATAACCCAAAAACAAAGAGCATCTGCCGTCATGTCTTCTCCTGACCCGCCACGCCCAGCGCCTTCTCGCCGAGCCGCGGCTTCTGCGAGTCGGCGTGAGCGTGCTGCATCGCCAGGAAGGGGTTGGCGGTGATGGCGCTCTGGCTCTGGTTGTTGATGGGCAGCTGAGCGGAGGACATGGAGGACATGGAGGGGATCTGGGCGGAGGAGGAGAGCGACTGAAGCTGCTGGAGCTCCTGCTGCTGCTGCATCAGCTGGTAGAGCAACACCTGCTGCTGCTCCTGAGAGAGAGAGAGGGAGAAACAACAATATTTGACTAATGTGCAGGTTGTAATATTCATTTTGCTTTGTCAATACTGTATATCTACTGTATGGTCATGTCAATAAAGCTTTTGAATTGAATTTAGAGTAATGAACAACAACAAAATAATTAGCTTGTATGCATATACGCATGTACCTATGAATAAAGTGTTTCCTCTACAAAATCAAGTTATTTATTAGAGGAACCAAGTTTTTCTCCACCAAAAGTTGTCATCATCGTGTGTGTGTGTGTGTGTGTGTGTCGTACCGCTGAAGGCTGTGCAGAGAGCAGCTGTTGGAGCTGATGGTGCTGCAGGAGGAGTCGGTGCTGCTCCGACAGCAGGCCGAGCCGCGCAGCGCTGACCAGACAAAACACAACACACACCACTTTAATACACTGATTCAAAACATTACAGGGTTACAAAGTGGGATGCAGTCAAACGCAACATGCATTGAACAAAAACATGAAATCGTCTTCCTTGAAACTTCTTCAAAAGCAAGACAAATTGATAATCTATATACATTAACTTCACCACTCACACTAAACATCCAGCATTAAAATGATATCACAAATTTGGGGACATAAAGGGAGCTACAGGTTGCTGTGATGCTGAACTGACTTCAGTCTCACCTGTTCTTACTAGTTGCTGAGCTGCAAGAATCCAACACGCAAGCAGAAGGAAACAGAAAGGAGAGGAGGAAATACATTTCACATTCAAACATCTTTAGAAAGTCAGAGAAAGGGTTCGTGCATGATCCCTGACATAAGGAGTGATTGTGGAGCTTTGATCTTTAGGATGTGAGAGAGTGACGTTAGTGCATTAAAGGCATCTGGAGTGGTTGATCTTAAAAACCCTTCTGGTATATAATATGCAACAATTCTTAAATCTGCAGAATAATTGTTGCAGACTATTTAGATAATGGATTGATAGTTATAAGTATTTTTTCATGCAAAAATGTCAGACATTGCTGATGTATGCCTCCCAACTATGGAGATGTCCTGCTCTTCTCTGTCATATTAAAGTTAACCAACACACCAAGATATTTAAAGACTTTGAGGACTAGGATGGATATGTTTTACTATTTTATATACAAAACAAATTATCGATAAAAAAATAATTAATTGGTATAGCCATATTTAGCATAACTTCTGTCTTCGACATTCATGACATTACATGTTACTTGTTAGACGCTTTTATCCAAAGCGACTTACATACTCAATACTGTGGGCAATCCCCACAGGAGCAATTTGGGGTGAAGTGTCTTGCCCAGGGACACAACGACATGCTGACTGCAGTGGGGTTTGAACCTGTGCTCCCCTGATCCGAACACCAACGCACTAACCCACTGCGCCACAGCCCACCCACATTCAACTTTATTATCTACTTATGTTTTATAAGACGCAGATTTCTGTTAATTAAAGCACTCGTACCTGTTATGAACGGGCAACAATTCCTAAATCTCCACAATAATTGTTGCAGACTTTTTTGATAATAGATCATAAATTATTTGGTTTTTTCCATGCAAACATTTCAGACATTGCTGATTTATGACTCCCAACTATGGAGGTTTCTTGCTGTTCTCTGTCATATTAAAGTTAAAATCTTTGGGTTTTAGACCAACACACCAAGATATCTAAACACTTTGAGAAACTAAGATAAATATGTTTTACTATTTTATAAATCAAACAAATTATTGATAAAAAAAGTTTTCATTGGCTTAGCCCTATTTAGCATAACTTCTGTCTTCTACATTCAGTTTTCTTATCCATTAATGTTTTTTAAGACGCAGATTTCCGTTAAAAAAGCACTCGTACCTGTTATGAGCGGGCATCGTAGCTGCTGCGGGAGTGTGGGGGGGGCACGCTGGGTTTTGGATCACTCCGTTCAGACCCCCAACGATCCCCCCCATGCCCAGAGCGCTGCCTGCTCCCAGAGCTCCCAGAGCTCCCATCAGCCCCGTCACCCGGCCGTTCAGCTGGGGGGGGCTCTGGGACACGGAGGGGGGGGGTGGAGAGAGACGAGGTGGAGCCGCTGCTGCTGTGGCCCCCGCAAGAAGCTCCGTCCTAAAAAAGGAGAGGAACACTTTATGAAAACTTTCTGTTGGGAAAATACTGAATGTCCTCTTCCAATATGAGAGTACACATGATAACAAAGGTATCCCAACTGTAGCTGTGTACATGACAGGATGTATGATTACCTAGAAGAGCATCAGGACTGTTTGAGGCATATGATAGCTATGTGATTAACATGATGATTCAGCCTCTATGGAGATAGACATATGACAAGCATGATCATTTCTGACGTGGAGCTAATCTGAAGTAAACATTGAATACTGCTTTCTATTCCTCCATCTTGTGACTGTGTAACTCCCTCTCTTGGATATCAGCATGTGAAGGACACTGTTCAGGAACTAGTTGATGCTCTGTATGTGATGACTACTTCCATTCTGGAGAGGATCATAAACACTTTCTATTGGTGATTATCACAAAATAACTACCATCTGATGCTTGGTACTGCATTAATGACACGTTGCTGCTCTGTATGTCTGAGTTTGTGTTTGTACACAATTTAAACTGTGGTTTTTTACCTGAGCTGACACAGGAAATGACGAGTCGGTGCCTCCTAGATGGCCCCCTTTCAAATCTGCAACACACATCAATACAGTTAATTATTTCATTCATTATTCTCTGTATTATGTTTTCAATCAATAATTTGGACACAAAATAGTGAGAACTGTCCGTTCTAAGTGATGTAGGTCCAAGGTAATGATTTCATATTGTCTTGTTTTGTAGGATATCAAACACAGAAAATAATCTTTACAATTTGAGAAGCTGAGGCCAGAATATATTTCTGTTTTTGCTCGTGTGTGTGTGTGTATGTATGTATGTATGTATGTGTGTGTGTGTGTGTGTGTGTGTGTACCAGAGGAGGGGGTGAAAGGCACTGATAGCTGAGCGCTGAGGAGCTGCAGTCTCTCCTTCTTCATGGTCAGATTTTTGATCTGTTCCTCCAGCCTCCGGTTCTCCTCCTGCAGCTGGTGGAGCGCCTTCAACATGCCCAGCACTGAGAGAGGGGAACATGAAGAGGACAAAACATATCCATCACTCAGAGTGTTTGAGTGGAATTCAGCAACAGCACTTCCTGCTAAAACATATTTGGTAAACCTATCTGCTCTGAGATCAGAGCTGCTCTGACTTTCTGAAAGTCCGGTGCGTCCTTAAGGTGAAAGTATGCAGCTCTGCAAAGACTCCTCACCACTTTGTTCAAATACACAGTGACTGATTAGACAGGGGCACTCGGGGGGGGGGGGGTCAGAGGTCAAGATCAGCTGCAGAACAGTGACGCTGGTGAGAAGCAGACGAGGCGACAAAGGCAACTCAGAGAGAAAACGTTTTTACACACAGGAACTTAAACCTGAGATGAAGGACGGTGTCTCTCGCCTTTCCTTCTTCATTTTAACTTTATGGCTAAAAATAGGCAGATAAGTGACGATAATAACAAATTGACTGAAGAGAGGGAGCAAGAAGAGGCAACATGTAGAACTAATGATTAGCAGTAGGGCTGTGTATCAAACTTTAAAACCGTCATGAAACAGTAAATGCGTAACAAGTACCTATCATTTTAAATATCTCAAATGACACCAAGCCCTGAGTGAGAAGGCACTCCTGGTCTATAATACTGTTCTGGTTCTTGCATACATTTGTAAGAAAGCTGGCATCTTTCATAAAACATTTTTTTTAAAACATAAGAGTGTGTTTTAAAATGTCTAATGTTACTTTTCTCAGAGTAAGGTATAAAAGCCATATCGGAGCAGAGAGTCATTTGACATATCTTAAATGACCCTCAGCTGCTATGGACAGTCTTGCACTAATGTACATTTCCCAAAGATATGGAAGTGACTGTTATTTTGTATATATTGATTGTTGTGCTTTTATGTATGTCTTAACGTGTGCATATGTATAAATGTGTCTGTTGATTGTGTGTATATATATGATATACAGAATTGTATACATATTTAAATACATTTGTATTTGGGATTGTGGGAAACGGTAATTTGATCTCTCTGTCTGTACACACAAACTGAAAGATTGACAATAAAGTTGACTTTGACTTGACTTTGAGCCCTGTGTGTGATGGAGCATTCATCAGGTGTGTTACAGAGTGTGTGTGTGTTTTAGTGTGTGTGTGTGTTTCAGTGTGTGTGTGTGTCTCACCGTCCCCCTGAGCTCCCTGCTGCAACAGGAAGCTCTGCCCCTCGTTCCACTGCCTCTCCAGGAGCTGCTCTATGCTGGTGGCCACCGGGGGCAGCGTCTCCCCCCCGCCTCCCCCCGCCCCTAGCAACCCCAGCGCCGGCCCCGGCAACGACCCCGAGGAGTCATAGCGGATCTGCAGGCCACCAATGGGGGAGCTGAATGAGGGGAGAGAGAGCGCGGATAGAAAGGGGGAGATAGAGAGGTCAATGGGGAGATTAACGACCCAACATAAACGTCAGACAAACATAGACACTGCTGGCTATAAAACTACATCAATTTGTTGTTACAGTGGCCTCTAATGAAAAGGGGCCAGGCTTGTGTGTGTGTGTGTGTGTGTGTGTGTGTGTGTGTGTGTGTGTGTGTGTCAGAGAGAGAGACAGACAGAGGGAAGTGGACTGTCTTGATGCGATAAATCTAACGTGCTGAAACAATCTGTTGAGTGTGAAAGAGAGGAAATGAGGGACAGCAGGAGAGAGTCGAAGAGACGGAAAGAGAGGTGCGTAATGCGGGGAAAGTAATGTCAAGATTATACCACTTTTAAATCGCGCTGCAAACTTAAAGTGTCACTGTCACAGCGGTTTACACTCAAAAATGCATCTGCTATATTCATAATAAGAGGCTAAATTGTTAATCTTCAAGGTGTTCAAAATGTCTTTAAATTAGCTACTTCAAAGAGAAAATCCAATATTTCTGACACAATATTCTTCTGTTAGAATATTTCTATTTAAATCAAATGTCACCCCTTCCCACGCACAAATCATGTCTCCTTAAGGCAAGATGTAAAGAGCAAAATACTGGAAATTGTAACCAACCTCATCAAGTGAAATTATCCATCCCACAGAGAAGTAGAAACAAACAAAAACAGATTTGTGTCGTCAATAATCCCATCCTGAGAGATCCATGCAAACACTCCCAGATGCAGGAGATGCAGAAAATCAGACTGTCCTTCCATGTGTGATTTAAAAAAAATAGAGGATCTGAGTGGAGTTGAAGGATGGTTACCACCTTCAAAAACACACGTTATCGTTGGCTGAGAGAGGGTAGCCTGTAGGGGTGAGAGCGAAAGGGAGAGTGTGCATGTGTGTGTGTGAGGAGTGAGAGAGGAGGCGAGGGGCCAGCGGAGGGAAAAGCTAGAGAGGGGGATGGGTGAGGAGGGGGGGCAGTGAGGAATGTAAATGGGGAGGGAGCATCTGTGTGTGTGTGTGTGTGTGTGCTCACCGCGGGGTGGTCTTGGGAGAAGCTCTTATGGAGAAGCCCTGAGCTCCGACGCCACTGCTGCCGTCTCCCACCTCCTGATCTACACACACACACGCACACAAAAAGAAAAATCAATCGTAAACACACACTGAGCCAGATAAAGTTACAAACACACGTCTGAAAACAACATTTACAGGTTGTTTTTGTTAAGTTCTGTCCACGCAGAAACACTTGAACAGCAGGAAATCTCTTCTTTGTTTTATTTTGGTGCGTAAATAAATAATTTGGGAATCACAGCACGGGTTCATCTGCTGCGTCTGTAATGGTAATTTAATTGTGACTTAATACATTTCAGTCTGTAAATATAAATATAACATGTTAATGGCAAAGAGCATTTCCTGCACAATTCCACAGGGACAAAATACATATAAATACAGCTTAATAACCGCATTGAGGGATTGGCTAAATAAAACATATACAATGTTCATAAAAATGTCTTGAGCCTAAATCTGCTTTATGGGGTCTATTTTACCATCAGATTTAACTTGGTTGTATAACCTTCATACTAGGGCTGCTCAATTAATCGTATTTTAATCGCAATTACGATTATGGCTTGCAACGATTACGAAAACAACGTAATCGAAATAAAACGATTATATTATTTTTATTGGTTTTTCAGTTGAATTATACTTAAAGTTCAGGGTAATCAACTGTTAAAAACATACTGTTCACATTTTTTCTCCAATAAATGTATGTTTTCAAAGTAAATGGATAATCGTTTTTAATAATCGTGATATCAATTATTGACCCAAATAATCGAGATTATGGTTTTTGCCATAATCGAGCAGCCCTACTTCATACTTGAGAAATTCTTATACACATGATTTTGTACCACATTCATGCTGTGTGTCAGTGATAAGCCCCGCCTCTAAATCTGTATATATATTATATAATTCCGCCTCTGTCCTGGCTTACAGTACATCATGTTGTCCTCGTCAACTGTACAGCTCTGATGATTACTTTATTTGTTTAAATTAATGCCAACTATTATTGATAATTGATGCCTCAGTTTGACTAGATTTTGAAGAAACAAAACACATTAAAAAAAACTCTTATTCCAGTTTCTTCAACTTAGAATATTTGCTGTTTTCTTACCGCTAAATGCCAGTAAGCTGATCATTCTTGACAAAGAGGATTGACATTAAGTCACTGGGTGTCGATGTTCACCAATTAAAGGGCATTTTATAGAACAAACAACTGATCAATAAATCGAGAAAATTACCTACAGAATAATCAACAATAAAAATAATCATTAGTTGCTTAATTAGTTTTTTTTGGAGATAAGAAATACCATCTGAGAGGCAAAACAAAGACGTGTTGACGTATTGTAATCCTGGCAGTAAGCTCCTAAACTTCCCTCTCTCTCTCTCTCTCTTTCACAGCGAGCTTCTTTCAGCGTCTCTCCTCCTCTGAGGGTCTCCCCCCCCCCACCCCCCTCGGGCCCCCGGCCAGACGCTCCTTTTCATTTTCCTCACTGAGAGTAATGAATCACACATGCACGCAAATGCACACTTTTGCATTTACACACTCCCCTCTACTTAAGACAGTCAATCCCAGCTTTTACCCCCACCAGGTCACCTCTCCGGTCCCTCGCTCGCCCTCTTTTTCATCCCCTCTTTCTCTCATAACGCGCTCCCTGCAGACACTCGAAAGCAAAGTGGAGCGGCTGCCAAAGCAAACAGGCTGCATGCATACAAACACGTGCACACCTTTCACGTTTGTGCTCACATGACCCTGACTGGTCCACAAACACAACTTCACGCTGGTGTAGCTGCACACGTGCTGCACAAACTGTGTGTGTGAGGGCACTAACAATGATTTTCATTATTGGGGAGATTAAGTG